CTGATGGGAAAACTGCAAACTCGGGAACGGGAAAAGCTGGAGGCTTTAATTTTAAGGATATGTTCCCCGCTCATGTGCGACTAAAAAATTTTAAATTTAACTCTTCTAGCGTGGCCTTTTTTTGAACAACTCTCCATTTGTCGAATCACTGAAGTCGACATCGACAACTGATATACCACGTAGTTGCGTAATTAATTTCCCGAACTTCGAGGGCCAATATGTCACGGGGTTAGTCACCATGATTTTGCTACGGTGCGAAAAGTGCAAAAACGCATAATCGCACCGGCCCGTCTGGTGCGTTCCAGCCTGGGTTAATCAGAGTCAAGGTGTACCAATGGGAGGAAACGCCAGCCCCGACACTGCCGACTTAACACTTTCTGTTATGGAATAACGCTACCTTTACAAGCATAAAAGAGTGGGGGTTGAAACTATTTCGGTATATTGACGACATACTGATTATTAACAACCCCAATTTTCCCACCATTGTACAGGATATTTATGGTCAGACTCTAGACCTTGAAACAACGTATGGCGGTCAACACGTTTGTTTCCTCGACCTTGACATATCCTGTCATAATAACAGATGTGTTTTTGATGTTTACAACAAATCACTTGACAACTCCTTCACTGTTCATCACTACAGTAGCTCCGACAGTAACGTCCACCTTACAATGCACATGGGTACTCTTATGTGCAAATGTTACGTTACGCCCGCACTTGCACTTTCCCAGATCGGTTCATTTGATGGCGTCGGGGAATACTTCGACATTACTTAGACAACGGCCTGAATGTCATTCAATTGAGGGACGCCGTTTACAAATTCACAAACAGATACAGAATTATTCTTAATAAATATTTGTACTGCGATGATCACGGCGTTATGCGCGTTCGTACTATGTTACTTAGTAACGATATTTCTATGTTATAGTCGGCCCTGCTTACGTCCCTGCACTCTGATGATTGAGTTGTAGATTGCTAGTATGTCCACACAAAACGAACCCCCCACAGAACGAAGCAAGTCGGAGAACCACGTCCTCTACGTTAGTTTGATGTTTTGCTTCATTTTACAGCCTATTTAATCCTCTTGACTTCTTTGATCTTCTTTCCTTACTCTCTCCCTACTTCCTTCTGTCTTTTCAGATGGCACATTTCCTACTTTACATGGTGGTTAGGGGGCTATACTGATGATTTCCACCCCTAACCACACCTACATATTCTCAACACATGCGCAATCAACATATCACACTGTTTATAACACATATTCCTGCATACCATCTTCCAATTTTCCCCCTCCCCCATTAGCTTATTTCACATGAAATATTAAACCGAATCTTCCCATTCCTTTCTACTTTGTTGAGCCCCTACTTAGGCAAGGAACATTCTTCTGCCCCTGCTTAGGCAAGGAACATTCTTCTGCCCCTGCTTAGGCAGGAAACATTCTTCTGAAATTTTTAGCCCCCTAACTCTTCTGGCTCCCAAGATAATGATTTTTCTCCAAAACTTCCACGGGGACTTTCAAAATTTGTGAAGCTGTACATGGGCAGGGGGTGCCACGCTAAAACTTCAGCTTTCTAGCTTCTGCAGTTCATGAGATAATAATTCCCCTACCAAAACTTTCACTGAACCGTACGTTAATAAGGGACATTGCCCTAAAATTTCGGACTCCCAACTCTCGTGGTTCCTGAAATAATAATTTTCCTCGTCGAAACTTTCACAGGGCCGTATGTGGTACCTGATTGCGCGGGAGCGCTGAATTTGGATTTGCTTGGCCGTACGTGGGCAGTGGATCATTACCCAAAAACCTCGGCATCCTAGGCTTCGTGGTTTCCCGAGATAATAATTTATCCGTCAAAATTTTCACGCGGCCATATGTGCTACCCGCAGGTAGGGAAAGGCCAAATTTAAATTTTTTGGGTCGTACATGGACAGGGGATACGCAAACAAAATTTCACCCTTCTAGCTTCCGTGATTCCTGTGACAATAATTTTATCCGCTAAAACTTCTACGGGGCTGTACGTGTTACCTAGGGGTATGGGGAGGCTGAATTTAAACTTGCGGGGTCACATGTGAGTGGGGAACATTACCCTAAATTTTCAGCTCCCCCGCTTTTGTGGTTCCCGAGTTGAAAGTTGTGGACAAGTTGCTGCGGGGACACATACACACACAGACAACCCCGTGACAATATGTGCCTTGTACTGCTGTTACACAGCGCAAAACGCATAAAAAAGTACGCAAACCCGCTGTGCAATGTATCACCGCAATGAACAACTCTGTGACATGCTTGCACCATATTCTGTAGTTTATAAGGCTCTGCTTGCCAAATAGCATTCACTGCATCAATTCTCTCCATGTTTTCAGCGAAAGCACCACTGACTCGCAAAGCCAAACACAGATTCTCCCATTTCACCTGCAAAAACACTAAAAAACAATAAATTCTTATAAAATCGAAAATAACACTTTTTGAAAGTACAATTCCTTCACAATAACTTTTTGGCTTTGAACGGCGAAAGGTAAAACGACAAAAAAAGAGTACTTCCTGGGCAAAGTATCTGGCATTAGATGGCTCGTATCGCATACTAATCGCTAGCACTTTGAAGATGATTTCCATGAAATTCAGGAGCAGAATAACTTCAGCCATGAATGCTTCCTGGTTTGCTTCCACTGCACTGCCGCCAAGCCTTCCTTCGAGATTTATAAGAAGAGACATCAAACATAAGTATCCACCGCCACGCCGAAACATCAACCGTACTTTGTGACTTTCGCGTAAAGCACACAGAAGCGACTGAAATCAAAGTTAGGCAAACAAAAGCATGGCTCTCAGAAGATAAAGTAATTGCAATGTTCTCTAGCTGTTCTTGAAAAGCTAGTTGACTAGGCAGAAAAGCTAACATTACGCAGTTACCTTTAATAAGACCGTTTTCAGAGCCAGATTATCAAACGTGGGCGTGTGAAGGACGAACAGTAGAGCAGAGAGTTGCTCTTCGTTTTGACCAGATATCAAAAGCTGCTTCATCAGCTACAAACAGATGTATTTTACTGAATCCAGTGTACCGAACTATGCAGATAACCATCTTGATGAGCAGGCCTGTGCGAGCAGAACTGAAGTGCCAAAATTTACTTGCAACGCAGAAGCCCTCCACTCATCGCTATCACAACATA